TACGGGAATGGGTAATAGAGGAGAGAAGTCGTGAATACCCACCAGGACCTTGAGCTAATACTTTCTTTTTTTTTTAAACTTTATTGGGGAACAATATGTTTTTTCCAGGACCCATCAGCTCCAAGTCAAGTTGCTGTCCTTCAGTCTTAGTTGTGGAAGGCGCAGCTCAGCTCCAAGTCCAGTTGCCATTTTTAATCTAGTTGGGGGGGACGCAGCCCACCATCCCATGAGGGAGTCAAACCAGCAACTTTGTTGTTAGGAGCACACTCTAACCAACTGAGCCATCTGGCCAACCATGGGCCGCTCAGCAGCAATTCAGCTCAAGTCATTGTCATCAATCTAGTTGCAAAGGGCACAGCTCACTCGCCCATGTGGGAATCGAACCAGCAACCCTATTGCTCAGAGCAAGTGCTCTAACCAACTGAACCACCCGGCCACCTGAGCTAATTCTTGTAAAGCCCTTGGAAGAGTGCCTAGCACATGGCAAGCACTCAGGAAATCATAGCTATAATGACTATTACTAGTAGTATCATTAATATTTTTGGAAACTGCTATAATAATATTAATACCAGTTTCAGTAAAAGGTTATAGCAAAAAGATCATAACTTTTTGCTTACTGTGTCCTGGGATAAATCTTCAGCATTTTCCTTCCTCCTTTTCATTCCCTTTACTGTCCATTAGTGGTGGTTAAATTGACTTCTTAGGCCATAGACTTGAGAATGTCAATAAGAGTTGTGATAAAATGAGAGAAAGCCAGAAGTCCTGGATTCACAGCTTAGCCGCTCCATAGGATAAATCCACTGCCAATCATTGGGCATGACTTCAGGACACCACCCCTCAGAGAAGAGTGGGTACTTTCAGTGCTTTTTCTGCGTTATCACATCTTATAAGAAAGGTATTTTAAAAATCCTGTGTCTGAAAGGAAGATGTGTGTGTGTGTGTGTGTGTGTGTGTGTGTGTGTGTGTGTGAGTGTGTGTCGGTCAGAGGATGGGATGCAGCGGACACCCTGGTTTTTGCCTGCCCGACACCCTCTCTTGGCCTTTTCTGGGAACAGAGTCCCCTTCCTTTGGGTAACTGTCCTCCACCCCATGTGGCGCTGGCGGGTGGACTAACCAACAAACCTCGCCATCATGCCCGCCATCCATCCTGTTATGGTTTCAATGTTTGTGTTTATCCCAAATTCACATGTTGGAATCCTGCACCTACTGTGATGGTATTTGGGGTGGGATGGGAGAGGTGATTAGGTCACGAGGGTGGAGCCTCATGAATGGGATTAGCGCTTTTTTTTTTTTAAATAAAGATTCTATTGGGGACTTGTGGGAGGGAAACAGTGATGGGGAATTGGGGGAGGGGAACAGTGTTGGGAAATTGGGGAAGGGGAACAGCCGAGTTGTTGTTCTTCAATCTTAGTTGTAGAGGGCACCATTAGCTCAATTCCAAGTCCAGTCGCCATCCTGCCACCCATTGGCAGCTCATGGCTGCCCAGCCCAAGGTGCCATTCTCAACCCCAGCTGTAGCAAGGGGTGGGGGGCACAGCCCACCATCCCATGCAGGAGTCCAACCGGCAACCTTGTTGTTAGGAGCATGTGCTCTCACCAGCTGAGCCATCCTATTGCGTGTTGGCAGCTCAGTGGCAGCTCAGCTCGGGAGCAGCTCACTGGCTCATGCAGGAATTGAACTGGGGACCCTGTTGCTCAGAGCTCGCACTCTTTTTTTTTTTTTAATAAAAATGTTGTCTTTTTTTTTAAATTTTGTTATTAATTATTTTTTAAAGATTTTTATTGGAGAATTGGGAGATGGGAACAGCTCTGGGGAATTGGGGGAAGGGGAACAGACAAGTTGCTGTCCTTTTGTTCTTCAGTCTAGTTGTGGAGGACATTGCTTCACTGGCCCAAGTTGGCACCATCATTGCGCTCTTCCCGGGCGAGGCAGATCAGTCGCCGGCTTCTGGACGGCCGCTCACTGTGGCTGCTGGCCGCTCACGCTGGCTGCTGGCTACACACGGTAGCCCATGGCAACCCACTGCCACAGGGGCTGCAGCCTATGCCGTCGCCGGCGACTCACGGCAGCCCAGCTCCAGGTTGAGCTGTTGTTCAGCATCTTAGCTGTAGAGGGCAGTGTCACTGGCCCTCATATGTGGGATCCGAAACGGGGCCCTCTGGCATCCCAAGCCAGCTCTTAACCCACGCACCACTCGGCCAGCCCGGCACATAACTTCTTTAGTAAAAGGTTTCTCTTTGCCTTAAGCAGCCCTGTCCATTGTTTCTGTGCATCTAGGTTCATACACCTTTGAAATAAGCCAACCGCCCTCAAGAGAGCACATAATCTTGTCAACTGTCCTGTAATTTAATCCCGCCTTGCTTTCTCCCACCTCCACGTCATCTTCCTCATGTTCCCTCCTTAATTTTGAATGCATAACAGAAGCTGCAAAACTTATTCTCCAGAGCATATGAGATCTTGCTCCCTGGCAGATGTTGTCGGCTTTGGCTCCAATAAACGCTTATGAAAAATCTTTACAGGTGTGGATGTTTTTGTGCCAACATCCCTTCTCTGCCTTGTCACTTCCAAGCCCCCTACTGGCACCCCCCCCACCCCTGCTCCCCAAGGCCTGGGTAAGTCATGGGAGAAAGGCTGAGGACCAATGGCTTGGGGACCTCAGAGAGGTGGGAGTCTGTTCCCAGGGCTGATGGGATGCAGGTGTGGCTGAGACCAGAGCACCTGCAGCTCCTCAGAGGCGAGGTGGCCCAGAGCCAGCAGCGTGGACCTCAAGCCAAGAGTAGGAGGGTGGACAACGGGAGGCCTCCGTGCAAGGCCAGTGAGAGCCCAGCGGGGCAGATGCTCCTGCAGCCAGATGCCGTCTTGGGACACAGCAGACTTTTAAGGGAAGAGAAGAGGCCCTGAGAGAACATTTGAACCTGAGTTTTTCTAGACCAGGGGTTGGCAAACTTGAGACAAAGAGCCTCCACGGGTCAACAAATTGCGGATTCTGAGCCTCTGAAGTAAAATTGAAAATCGAAATAAAACTATCATAGTTTCATTTATACAAATTTTAAAGGGTATTATTCACATAATGGTGAGTATGTAAAAATATATTTATGGCTCTCGAATAATTTTTAAATTGTTGTGAGGGACAGGATTGGCTCTTCCAGGGGTCGGCAAAGTTTAGAGACGGAACGTACCCAAAGAGCCGCGTGTGGCTGGCGAGCCGCAGTTTGCCGACCCCTGGTCTAGACATTCACCCTCAAGTGACTGACTTTGCCTGAAAGAGTGTGTTTTAAATCTCGAGAGGCTGAGGTACCGTTAGGCCACTTCGTTTCATTTCAGCAGCCTGAGGGTCCTGAGGAGTTCAGTGAGTTTAGGAACTGAAGCAGCGCCATCTTCCTGCTCACCTGAGAAGGCACACACTTGTTTTCTGTCTCACCACAGAAGCAGTGTTTCCCTCACGTGACCGGTTATTTTGCTCACCCAGCATCTCCTGGGGCTATTGCACAAGAGCCGCTGTGGCAAAACCACCTGCGCTCCAACATCTAGGGCTGTTGCCAGGGAGGCCCGGATGGTGGCTGTCCTGGCTGGCCAGCTCCATCTCTATGACAGCCTCTGTTCAGAGAGTCCCTAAGTTCCGGAGGCCATGGCGCCAGGGCTGGAAAGGCTCCGTGGCCCACCAGCCTCTCATTCCTGCTCATAAGGCCCAGGGGACATCAGTCAGCCCCCACCCGCTGCAGAGCCAAGACTGGCGGGGTGGGCCCCTCCTTTGCAAAGCAACAGCCCCCAGTGTGGCCTCAGGCAGGGCTAGGGAGAGGATGCAGGGTATTTCTGGGTGTATGAATGAGAACAAACCACACGGCCCTGAACCCAGTTTGCACACACCAGGAGAGACACAAATCTGAGCCCATGGCTGCACTATAGGCCCATTCCCACAGACATGGAGTCTAGAACTGCTTCTGCCATTTCTTAGCTGTGTGACCGTGGGCAAGCCATGAGACCTCTGGAGGCCTCAGTGTCCTCATCTGCAAAATGGCAGCACTGGAACCACAGTCCTGTATCTCAAATCACTGGGGCCAGATTGTTTCGGAGTTTCTGGGTTTTTTGGTTTTGGGAAAGGTGTTGATATTATACATTATATAACATCCGAGCTACTCTCCTTAGTCAAACCCTGTTCATATTTCTGTGGTGAAATCATGAATATTCAAATAAAGTGGGATACATGAAATCCGTAAGCTTATACCAGTTCAAGTCAAGTTTTACCATCCACTGAATTCTGGAAAAGTCTTTCAGTTTTCAGATCATTTTACATTTTCACCATTTAGATAAGAGTTATTAAAGCTTTAATGTCATACACCTCGGAGGGTGGGACAGTGATGTGGACACAATCACTGCAGATGCCCACAATGTGTTTGTGGGTGCTCTGCCACGCTGGGTGTGTGTGGCTTGCTCATAGCTCCTCACAATAGCTGTGTGTCACAGGAGCTGATCTAACACCCATTTCACAGATGGGGAGTCGAGGCCAAAGGCAGCTGAGGAACTGGCTCACAGTGACATGCTCCACGTGGTCGGCTTGACTTCAGAGCCCTGGCATCACCACTCACCTGTTTTCACTGGTAGGAAGTGGGGAGGTGAGACTCAGCCTCTGACTTTGATTCAGCCATTTTACTTCATTGTGTATTTATTAGAAAAGAAAGCAAAAAAGAAAGTGCAGATGGGGGGGGAATGGCAGCGGTGAGGAGGACTCCCTGAATTCTCTCCTGGAGAACACAGCGATTTGAACAGCTGGAGCGCAGCAAACAGGCCTCTGCGAAGCACGCTGAGCAGCGAAGGGACCCTGACGCTGAGTACTTAAAGAAGAAAGTGCAAGTGCAAGCCATTTCTCAGCAAGCACCGGGCTTCCCGGAAGAGCTGCTATGACCACTGGCTTTTTTATAGCTGCGACAGTTAACCTGAAACCGTTTTTGCAATCCTACCTCAGGATAAGCCAGCAATAGAACTGTCACCCGCACCCCACGCCTTAACAAAACCAGCTGGAGGCTCTGTACTTTCCCAGTTTTCCTCCTGCAGCCCAGACACTCACAGTCCCCTACCAAACCGGAGGTCCCCAGAGAGGTGAGGAAAGAAGACGTGTGGCGCGACACAGCTTCAGCACTTCGTGGAGAACAGGTGGGACAACAGGCAGAGCAGGGTGGGGGTGGGGGGTTGCTTCAGGACCCCCAAAAGGACAATGTGACCAAAGGGTGGATACAGAAAAGGAGCTCTTGTCAGGGCCACCAGGGTTCAAATCCCCATCCTGCTAGTTACTAACTTTGAAATCTTGAAAAGGTCTGAAGCTTACATTCTTTAAATCAGGACAGGAATCTCTCTCTCACTGTCCCGTTTGTAGTTTAAATGAAAACGTGATTAAGAGTGATTATGACCAACCAAGTTGCATCTTCCCCTCCATTGCCTGGGGACCCTAGATCCCTATATGGAGAAGGCCTGACCCCCAGAATGCAGGAGGCTTCTCTGGCCACAGGTATTTCCCTAGAAGTTCTCTGCTGCAGCGCTTTAGGGGAGGTCGTCTTTGTAGACGGAAGATGCTGAGTGAGTTGTCTCGAAGCTGCAAATCCAACTCCCAGTGTTTGCTGGATTGGAGGCTTATTGGGGGGTAGTTGGGGGAAGGAGGGGTGAGGTGGTGATAAAAATCAAGAGTGGGGCAAGTAAGGAAAGGGAACCGGCCGTGAGTGAACTTCCTTGAAATCCCAGAGCTGGTAAGTGTCAGAGGGGCCTTTGTATCCACTTGCCTCCACGGCCTCCACACTACTTCTGAGGTCAGTTTTCTCCAGCAGGTAAAACATCTCCTCTCAGCCAGACTCCCTGTCATTCTGAATATAGAAAAGAGCAGAGACACCTCTTTGAACGTTACAACATCAGAGACATCTCAAATCTGCCAAGGTGAGCTCCTCCACCCCAGCCGTTTGCACTGGAGGGTGAAGCAGAGTCCAGGATGGCTTTGTCAGAGAAAGAGGGAAAGCGGAAGGACCCAGAACCTGTAAAGACAGAAGGATACACAGAGGCATGGCGATCACACACAAGCATTTGACCTGGGTTCCAAAATGTCTTTGCTAGCTCTCCTGTATGTAACCAGCTGCCCTTTCTCTGTCTCTTGCTGTCTTTTCTTCTTCCTGGCTTACTAGTTGGAGCGCACCAGGGCTGGATCTTGGACCACCCTTGGCCTGTCTAATTATTGTGTTAGGATTTGCATGGAATTTCGTGGCTTTAACTACTTTTTACTCTGACAGCTCCCAAATTTAATCTCCCACTCAGAACAAGACTCATCTATTCGCTGCCTGTTTATTCAACATCACTTGGATAGCTCAAACTTAACCTGCCCAAATTGAACCCTATTACCCACCCAGGAAACCTTGCACCCTTCCCATCTCAGTAGATGGAACCTTCATGGTAACGGTCCTTCAGACCGCAACCTTGACTCAGCCTGAAGTCATCCTCAACTCAGCTCTCTCCCATCTCACAGGCACTGGAAAATCCTGTGGATTCCTTAAATGCAACCATTCCTCACATTTCTACCCACCTGGCTCAAGCAGCTGTCACCTCTTGCTTTGACTACTGCAATCACTTCCTAATTGGTCTGCCTGTTTCCTCTCTTGCAAACCTGGTGCCTGTTTTCCAGCCTGAGTGATCATTTAAACATACAGGTTAGATCAGGACCAATGCCAGCCCCTATGGTGCCTTAAGACTTATTTGATAAAGCCCACCCACAAGGGGATAGAGCTCTGTGGACACATAGCTCTACAAATGGATGGCAACTTTATGCAACCAATCAACCAATCAATCAATCAATCAATCAATCAATCAATCATCAAAGTGCCCCTTTCTCCAGACAGACACAGCAGCTCCTTCCATCCCCAGCCTCCAGGTCTCACCACTTGGCAAATGGATTCTGGGATGGGTTTCAGACCCCACCTGCGTGCTCAGACAGGGCCTTTGGCAGTTCTCCTAATAGTGTTCTTATGTCCTTGGGCATATAATTTGTACAAAGGGGCCTTATACATTGTTGCTTTGTCCCCTGATGATGATGTTTTCTTCATTACAATCAAGTTGTTCATCATAGCCAGCGGCTGGGAACAACTCAAACATATCAATTGATAAAAGAATAGATAAACAAATGGTAGAGTATTTATATAATGAAATGCTTCATAACAATCATTTAAAAAATCTGCCGGTGCCCACAACACCATGATTGAATTTCACAGACATTCTATTGAGTGAAAGCAGTCAAAAGAATGACTGTTTATATGAAGTTCAGGAATAGGCAAACTAGGGGCAGCCTAGCTCAGTTGGTTAGAGTGCAGTTGTCATAACACCAAGGTTGCCGGTTCGATCCCCACATGGGCCACTGAGGTGCACCCTCCACAGCTAGATTGAAGACAACTACCTGATTTGGAGCTGATGGGCCCTGGAAAAACAAACTATTCCCCAACTAAAAAAAATAATAATAATTTAAAAAAAAGAATAGACAAACTGTTCAAAAGAGTGGTTACTTCTGGGGCGGGGTGAGTATTTATTGGGGGTGGTCATAGGAAAGCTGTTCTCTACCATGATCTGGGGGACAATTACTCAGATATATACATAATACCAACATTTATTGAGCTGAGGACTTCAATTTCTGTACTTATATAAGCTATACCTCAATATAAAATGTAGTTTGCAAATAGCACACTGTAAGTGTCTCATTATTAATTTGATTGCACATAATCTAAAATTTCCCCACATTTGAATTTCAGAAGGTTTTGTGGCATCTGCAGTGATTTTGTTTTCCATGTTTTCTACCAGAAAATCATTTGACTCCTGGGGACACCTCTGATTCTCCCATGGACAAAATGAGTACAGGTGTGGTGCGACAGAGGCTTCTGCACATTCAGGCATGGTAAGAATGCAACGGCTGGGCTTGGTCTGCAAAGGTAACCCAGAGGGATTTGTCCCTGGAGAAAGATTTTTTTCTGCTGAAATGCTCCAGACATCCTCATGACGTGGAACAAATGTGCTCCAATATTAGTCATAACACGGGCCCTGCCTTCCCATTGGTCACCACTACACATGGGAAGGTATATCCTCCCAGGTAAAAATAGTCTGCCGGGTAAACTAAATATTTTGGAGAGCAAGTCAATATCTAGTCATGTACATGACATTGGGCAATGGGACTCTAACGGCACCAGTTGTCCCACTCGGTGGCCCCACCTCTGTGAGCCCCTAGAGATAGGAGCTCAGTGTGTTGGCTCACCTGTCACCAAGCCCAGTTAAGTGTTAGTCAGCCAACGTGGCATCACCAGCCCCCAGACAATGTGGACCATCCGCAAATGTCCGCGAGTGAATGAGGTGAACCGTGTATATTGAGCCTCATAGATGCAGGTTGCAATTTGACACTGTGTCAGTAGGTATCACTGCCTAATACAGGACGATGTGCTGCGGCCGAAGTGTCCATATTCCAGGCATTTGGTTTAATTCAAAAACACAAGAGCCAAGCTTCCATTGGCTAACAATCATGTGAAAGACGACGCTGTAGAGTTAACGCAAAGTGGTGTTGTCCATGTTTGCGGCTACGTATCTATTTGTTGTTTCTCTCTGTCCCTGCCAACCTGACGGCACACAGGGATCAGGGTGGGCTGGATGGTGGCATCTGTAAAGTTTAGGGTTTCTCAGCAGGGTCATCCTCTTCCCCTTCACCCTGCAGCCCCTAGCAGCCTTCTGCTTTGTAAATTCATTTACAACTGGTGATTACTGATAATTGGGCTTAAGTGCATTAATTCATTAACAGTAAATGGTGTTCTTGGTAGTATACCTGATTTTTAACCTTTTTCATTGAGGATGTGTGTGTGCGCACTTGTGTGTGTGTATGAATATATCTATATCTATATGTATGTGTGTGTGTGTGTCTGTGTGTGTATATATATATATACATATATATATATATATATATATATATATATATATATATATATGTATATATATATATAGAGAGAGAGAGAGAGAGAGAGAGACAGAGAGAGAGAGAGAGACAGAGAGAGAGAGAATCTACTCAAAGGTATGTAACCTCTGTTGGGAATTCCTGCCACAGCGAAATAGCTGAAAATCCTGATGCTCTTGGAACTCTGCACCCCATTCAAAGCTCCATCTTTACCTCATGCGTTTGGGCAAGTCCGTCCCCTTTTGTCTCTGAGCTTCTGTTCCCTCCACTGAGAAGTAAAGGAGGCAGCTCCGATCCTGTCCAGGGTCCCTTCCCACTCTGATCGTCTCCGTGAGCCAGGGAACCCGTGTCATCACGAGGCCTCCTGATCCGGCTCTGAAGGAAATGGGCCAGTGGCACTTGGATGAGGAAAGTGCCTGAAGGAACAGGCTTTGCTCTTCCTCTGATACTGTGTCCCATGAAGGACACACTCGTTGGGCTGGCCAAGATCACGTAATGCTTCCTACTTTGAGAAATTGGGGGAGGAGGGTGTGGGCCCCCATATCCCTTACTTCTTCCACAAACCAATGCCATCTGTTTGAGGGGTCAAATAAAGCTGGCCAAGTGCCAAGGAGAACATTCAGAACATTCCTGATCATTTATCTCAGCCTCTCAGTGTGCGACTCCTGATAGAAGCAAAGACGCACCATAGCAGCCAAACTCAAGGTCATCGAAGTGCAGGATGCGTTATACAGTACGGCGCCTCCTCCCCCTGACTCCCCTCTACATACACAGAGCTCCCAACCTCCCACCCAACACCTGCGTTCCCCTTTCTCCTGCTTTGCCTGAACTTCTCCCTCCATTAGTCCCACTAGATCTTAGCATTTCCCCACTGTGTCCTCTCGGTGACACTTTCAGTCTCTCTGAACAAGGCTGAAATTGTCCCTCAGGACTGGCCACTTTCTCCATCTCTTTGGCCAAGGCTGCATTTCTCCCATTTCTCCTCCAGATGTACTTCTTATGTGTTTCTCCTCTTCATGGAGCCAGATCTCCCAACAACGCTCAGGGACTTTTCAAGGTCAGGTCAGAGGCGATGGAGGTGTTAGGGAGATGCTAGCAGGGTTCAAAGCTGGGAGGAGCGAGATCATCTGTAAACCAGATGGGCCTAAGAATTAGGCTTTCCTATCTGGACGATGGAAGCAAAAATCCTCATTTCGCTCATCCCCAGGGACGAGGATGACATTCTTCTGTGTGATGATGTGGAGCAAGACGATACGGATCTGTCACCTGAAGAAAGAATGTTTTTGCAAACGTTTCCCATCATTAAAAGGAAGCTGGAAGAGGCCATCAGAAAGGCCCATGCCCTTGCAGACGAAATCGAGAAGACCCAGGAAACATTCACCAAGACCAAGGTGGTGACCAGCTCCGTCGCTGTCGCCTCAAGTGTGATGTCCACCCTGGGTTTACTCCTCGCTCCACTGACAGCAAGAGGAAGCCTGATACTTTCTGCTGCTGGTATAGGATTGGAGACAGTATCCAATGCTGCCAGCATAGTGACCAACATCACGGAAAAAGATCACAATAAAAGATTCCAAGCTCAGGTCAGCGGCCAAGTGTCCACCCGTGACCAAGAGGTCAGCCAGGCTGTAGACCCGGCATCCTATGATCAGCATGCCAATAAATTAGAAAAGAACTTCAAGGATATCATGAAGAACATAGATGCCTTGATGATAGCCAACGCCCACCCACGCCTCGCCAACGCTGCCAAGTGTCGCCTGATCTCTGAGCCAGTCTCGTCCCGCAGGGACAAACAGGTGCAAAAGGCCTTTCAGGGTACAACGTTGGCGATGACGACAGGTACTCACTTGATGAGTACTGTGATGGCTGGCCGCAGGCTCGGCATGGAGTTGCGCTCTCTCATGGATGACTGCGAACAACTGAAAGAGGGAGCAAAGTCAGAGTTGGCAGAAAAGCTGAGAGCCAATGCCTTGGAGCAGGAACAAAAGCTGACAGAGCTCACCTGGCTTTATGAGACCCTGAAGAAGAAGGTGAGGCTGTGCTCTCTCCCTTGGGTGGGGCTGGAAGGAGGGGGGAGATTTAACTGGGGTTGGTGGGCATCGAGGTTTACGGGAGGGTGTTAAGGAAGCCAGCGCATGTGTGACGTTTGCATGGATGTTCCTGAGGACATGCGGTGTCCGGTGGCCCTGGACGTCCAAATGGTATCAAGTACTCTTGGAGATAATGGTGCTGCCCTGGACAGGCCTGGCCACGCCTTCTGTTTCTCCCTTGATGATCCTAGAGGTCCCTGTGCTGGGAAGACGGCCTTTCCATTGTACAGAAGAGACACTGAGCCACAGGGAGCGTTAGGGATTGAATTGTGCCCCTAACATTCATATGTTGACACTCTAAGCCCCAATGTGACTATTTGGAGATGGGGTTTGGGAGGTAATTGGGTTTAATGAGGTCGTAGGGTGTAGCCATAATCATATGGGCCGGTGTCCTCAGAAGAGAGAGGAAACACGACAGTGATCTGTCTCTGCCTGCACCGGCACGGAGGAAAAGCCATGTGAGAACACAGTGGGAGGGCGGAAATCTGCAGGAGAGAGGCCTGTCCAGGAACTGAACTGCCGTCACCTTCATCTGGACGCGTAGCCTCCGGAACTATGAGAAAATACGTTCCTGTTGTTTAAGCCCCCAGCCTGTGGTATTCTGTTACGGTGGCCTGAGCTAAGCCAGGGAACTTATGTAACTTGCCAAGTTCTCGCAGCTGTGTGGAGGGGTCAGGATGAAGAAGCCAGGGGACTGATTCGGAGCCTAGGTCTGCATCTGCCCCCATGGTGCATGGGAACCCTCTGTAGCTTTCCTGTGATTGGTGTTTTTGTTTCTTTACCAAAACTCTTGCAGCAAGAAAGGCTCAGGAGCTCCTTTTCCTTGGGAGCCATGAGGAGCTCTGCCCAAGCCCTCAGCCAGGCCTGGAGAAGCAGTATGCTGTGCTGCAGGTGAGGACAAAGAAGACAAGCTAAGCCCTGGGGCCTCTGAGTGGAATACGGGGGTCAGGGTGGGGGAGGGCAGGGTGGCAGAGGAAACGCCTGAAGACTCACTGGAGGGCCAGCTGGGTCCTGAGGGCACTGTCAGCGAGTGAGTACTGGGAAGGTCAGTGTGTCCCCTCTCCTCCGTTCTGCTCTGTTTCTTTATCGCCACTCATTCCTTCACGGTGGTGCTAACTCAGTCACTTCATTTCTTCAGTCCCCATTCAGCTCTCCTGCATAGTCCATATGAAACATGTATTGTTTCATGCTGGGCCCTGTATCCAAATCGAGTGCTGATGATTAGACAGTAGGGTCCCTGAAGTGAAGGGTGTTAACCTGAAAATAAAAAGGCCTTTTGAAGTGAGAGGCAAACAAGCATTTATTTGAGATCAATAAGGACACCTATTCTAGAACCATTATTTCAGGCAGAAGCCCAAATAATGTTCCAATTAGGAGTCAAAGGGAAGGGGTATATACGTGCTGGGGGGGGGACAATTACTCGTGTATCTCTAGAAGGAAGGCATTTCTATTGGTGCAGATAACATAACATAGAGGTGTTAATTCTCAATAATGTTTTTAATTTGGTGTCAGCCCAGCAGTCATAATAACTGTCTTGTTGTCTTTGTAAACAGTTTTGTGGGGGAAACAAGTTTGCTTAGGTCAAGTTTAAAGGTCATTTTGTTCTGTTTTAACATTCCAGAGGTTCGAGGCATAAACATGCCTCTGGAATGGCAGTTCCTGGTCCATTTGAAAATGGCTCCATTTATATTATTGTTTATGAGGGTATGTTGTATGTTCTATATCAACTCACCTTCCGTTGCTTCTCTGCTGTCTTCCTCTCCCACCTGGTCAGCAATGGCTGGATAAAATCCTTGTTCATTTGCATAGAAAAAGAATGTCATTGAAACCTTCTCAAGCAGATTCCATTATGAAGGAGAGAGGCCCTGTTGTCCCTACAACCCAAGTTCTTGGAACTCCCTCCTCAGGACATCAGAACATGTAGGAAAATTCCAGTCCTCACACTTCAGCTATCTTAAAATCAAGCTTTTGCTGTTGTTGTTGTCTGTTTGTTTTCATGTCTTAGCTGCTATTTCGAAAGTAGTGTATTGCATTAAATGCATTTTTTTTTTAAATTCAGGAAAGTAAAAAATAGAGGAAAGAAACAATGCACCAGCCATGGTGACAACTTTGGGTAATTTGGTGTAGAATTTTCTTCCTGTGCTTTTCCTGCTTTGGGTGTTAAAGTGCTGGCTTTAAGTAGTTGTCATTAGACTGCCTGCTGGGGACCCTGCCTCAAAGTTGTATTATAAAATAGGTTTTTTTCTGCAACCCAGTGAGTTTCCTTCTCATCCTCAATGCCCTCATTTGCCTTGTGAATGGAAAAGGGGCCACAGTTAAATCTGACAAGCTCAGGAGACTGAAAATAACCACAGAGGATGGCATGAACATAAAAATCCCTAACAAAGGTGGGCCATGGCGGGAAGTCTCATACTTGGCCTGTAGCTTCATTGACAAATGTCAATCTTTACCTTAAGCCTGTCTGTCATCTATTTACATCTAAGATAACATACCCTTACACTCTCAGAGTAATCTCTTTTTCCGAACCCCCCAGGGGGCCCAACCCAGGACACCAGAGCAGAAAACTACAAAATCCCCCATCGTTATTGTGTTCCCCAAATACTATCTCTATGTGCTGTAAAATGCTATTAACTATCCTGTACCCACCAATGGAAAAGATGTGTGTGTCTCTCCATTTTACTTTTGATCCAATCCCAGAGATATCCCCGCTTTGCTTTCTCCCACCCCCTTAATCTACAAGCAATGAATTTCATGTAACCTTCCTCCTTTGATTCTAATGGATAAAATAAGAAGCAAAACAGCCAATTTCTAGAACACTTTCCAATCCGTTGAGATTTTGCTTCCTGGCAATTGTCATCAGTTTGGCTCAAATAAACTCATAAGTTTTCTCTTAGACTGGATATTTTTCGTCAACATTACTTGCCGTAGTCGGCAGGATTCCAAAGAAGCCCACCCAGGAGCACCCTGCAGACGTGGAATCGGTGCTATGTACCAGCAGGGGCCCATTGTGCCCCACCGGCTCCCTGCTTCTCATCGGGTGAACTTGGGTGAGTTTTTCTTGGAATTCTGGACCTCCCTGTTTTAAGGTAAGAGGCCATGACTTTATTTGAGCTGTTTTTAAAGCCTCGAGGTGGCTGATTTTAAATCCTCAGATTAAGGACAAGCTTTAAGGTAATTCTTGGTGACAGGATTGAGATAACCCAGGTTAAGGACAAGAGTTAAGGTAACTCTTGGAGAGAAGAGAAAAATGGTTGGCTGGTTTCAATTTTGGCTTCTCAATTGGAATTGTTTACTGCGAGTCTGAACAAAGCTTTTCGCTGGATAGATGAGAGTCTGAACTTGTTCAGTTCCAAAGATAAGGGGCATTTACTCCCTGAGTTTCGGATATTCTGAGGTGACTAAGAATCTTTGTGGAGGTGTTTGAGGGAATCCCTCAAAACGTGCAGTGGTCCCATAGGGATTTCCAACCAAGATGCACACATAAAGGCTGGATATTTAGCGCTCCGTGTCCTCACGGTTGTACTAGACAGCCAGGGAGAGAAACCGAGACACGTAAGAGGGTTGAAGCGACTCGGGAGGTGACAACCCATTGGAGTTCAACCCATAAGCAGCACACGTCAACCCACTACACAGTATCACTAGAGATTTGTTCAGACTCTGCAGGCCTCCAAAACTAAAAATTAACATGGGAAATCGTACCTCCAAGGCAGACAAGCTCCCAGACTCCAGACCCATTTTACTCCTGCAGATGTACAGTTGCTAGGAGCCTTACAAGTACTTACAGACATGGAAAGGTATGTAGAAGTGATATCAACTTAATATGGCCAAAATGGAGCTCCTTTACCATCTAAATTTTTGTGTGCACAGTTAGAAAAACCTGGCTTAAAGAGTCAAACTAAATGGAATGGGAGGCTTACCTCAATCGGCAAATAGAAGCCTCTGAAATGGTACAGAGAAATGTTTTTCCCTCAGGAAGTTAGTAAGAAAATGTTTTGAGAGTGTCTCTGTACTAAAGGTTCTGAAGCTGGTAAATGCCAACACGCCACTTTTCCCTCTTTGTCCCAATATGTGCTTTACTTGTCCGGGCTTTCTCTCCTTTTCCCCTGTCTCTCGCCCCTGCACCTCTGTTGCAGCTCCCTCTGGCGAGGAGCTGGTCTTGGGTGGAGGGGAATCCGCGGTGGTATGCTGGCAGAACTAAGAAATCTAAAGATTCCCCCAACCCTCCCTAGGGCCCTGATGAGTTCACAAAGGAATTTGAATTGTTAGAAGGAACTTAGGATCCTCGCTTTTCTATTTCATCTGAATTAACACGCCTACTGGTTTCTGAGAGCAAAGCCACAGAATTACTAAATAAGTTTTGCTAGGGAAACTCATGTAGAGAAATGTGCGTTTATTGTAAAAAGTCAGGTCACTTTAAGAATTGTAGAAAACTGAAATGGGATTTAGAAAAAGAAAAGAAATAAAAACAAGCCTAGAGCTGCTCCAAGGACCATGAGGGCATTCCCCTTCTTACTAAAACTGGGGCTCCTTTATCTCTTAACACTGACTTAGTGGCCCTCCTCCTTGGAGTAAAGCTTCTGTACAATTGGTAGGGACATCTAATCAACTGATACCTCTATAAATCAGAACCTGTTCCTTTACAACTAGGAAATGTTAAGGGGGCAACACCTAGTTTTACTACTCAAATCTGCCCCAACTCACCTGATACTGTGAGACTTTCTAACCAATGATACTCACATATCCTCCCAGAAGGGTGAAATGTATTTAGGACTAACTGAATCAGATGGGGAAAATGATTTTAAAAGAAAGTACCTGAGAGAAAAGTAGTTTTAAGACTGAAGATTTGTTACAGGATGTTCCAATACAACTTGAGGCTTTTTCCAGTACAGATATTGATTGACAAGATTAAGCCGGCCACTCCTATTTAAATAACTGTTGAGAATACTTTGCCTCTACCTTATATTTGCCTTGAGTGTATATCTGAGACACTAGCTAAACTTAGTTCATTACAAGATGACCTTTAAAAGGGAGGGCTTATAACTGCTTTTCCACCTGGGAAAATCAGAGTTTACTTGGATAGTAACCCCCCAGGTGTATACCAGAGACTCCCACCTATTGCTCTCAGATACTAAAAGCTGATGTCAATCATGTTAAACTTCCTAGAAATTCTACTCTAATCCAATATATGGATGATTTGCTCTTATGCTCCAGGATATATCAGATTCCTAAGAGGACACAACCCACCTATTCCAATAGCCAGTCATAAAAGACCTAGGGGCTCAAAGGGCAAGCTTTGATTCTGTTTACACCAAACAAATACATTGGTTATCTAATATCTAAAAATAGGCTACTAATTAACCCTGAAAGACTTGGAGAAATGATATCTTTTCCTCTTCCAAGAACAAAAAACAAACAGCTTAGAGGATTCCTGGGTTTGATTGGATGCTGTCTCTATTAGGTTCAAAATTTTCATTAAAGCTCAGCCTCTCTATATCTTATTAAGATCAGCTCAGTCTGATCCATTCAATGGGACCCTGAAGGGAAACAAGGTAAAGAAGCTCAGACAATTAAGCTCAGTAGTTAAAGGGCTCTCTCTTCGCATAATAGTCATTTCTGCTACAGTCATGTGATGCAATCAAAAGAGACAGTTATAAAAGAACAGCAACAAAGAGACACAGTTACATATGCTCCTTTATTTATGTTGCTTATACTGTAGACTCCTTACTAAACTCTCATCATGCTCAACACTTCTGTCTGTCGACTGGCTTCTTATAACGTACTCTTGCTTTCTGCGCCTATGTGTCAATAGAACAGTCTAACGCAGCAACTTCATTACCCTCTTTACAGGGTGAAGACATCCACAGCTGTGTTTTGCTTACTGACCACCTTCCTGTTCCTAGGGATGATTTACAGAAAACCTTATTGGTAATGCTGACTCTTATCTGAAGGATGAACAGGGGTATTAGCAAGCTGGATATATAGTAACTTCCATGGTAAACATAAATTTAAGCTTCCTGTTTACCTAAATAAGAGCTGCCCAACAAGCTAAATTTACTGATCTGCAGGAGCTTGTAAATGAGCCAAAGGCCAAGTGGCCGGTGTTGACGCTGGCAGTTGCTGTACCTTTGGTGTGGCTTGCAACTTTGGAATGTTGTGGAAGCAGCGAGGCTTCTTAGCTTTCTCAGGGCAGCCCATAAGAATGGAAAACAGGTGGCAGAATTTAAATTACATGTCATCCAGCAACCGAAACAATTGACAATTATAAAAATTTCAGGACACTCTAAGGCGGCAAAAGAAAATAATTTAGCTGATGCTACAGCTAGATCGGCAATAATAAACAGCCAAGTTATCCAGACTTGAGAATATTTCTTCTCCCTATTAAATCAGTAAAAGACTCTCTTTTACAGTTCCACAACACAGCTACAGAAGAAAAAAAAAAAAGACAACCAAAAGGGGAAGCTTTGACCAAAACACATATAGCTTAGCATGTATATGAGCTAATACATTAGTGTCTTGGAAATACGATTTCATAGAGCAAAGAATTTTATTAAAAACCTCCTACTGTTGGTTAAGAGCTCGCTCAAGAGTTTGAGTTCTGAGCAATAGCAGTTCAATGCCCAGCCTGAGCTGAGCTGCCGCTGAGCTGCCAACAGGTGGCAGGATGGCTCAAATAAAGAAAAAAACCAAAACCTTCTATGGTAGCTCATAAAGTATATAACAGATGTTCTATTGTGTAAAATATAACGGTGGAAAATCGCTCCCTAGGTCCCAAGGACATTTCTCATTTCCTTTACGTCCATTTGAGGTGTGGTAATTGGATTTTCTCCAAATGCCACCATCTCAAGGATACACATATACATTAGTCATGGTTTGTATGATGCATTCCCTTGCAGGAGAACAACAGCCTTAATGGAGGGTAAGTTATTATTCATCATCATCACCATCATCCCCAATTGGGGAATTCCCTGTGAGTTTCATAGTAACTGAAAAACTCAGTTTCACTGGGCCAATAATATAATCTATTTGTACTATTTGGTTTATTTTACAGCATTTTCATTGTGCTTATCACCTCACTCTTCTGGATTGCTGGAATGTAAAATGGTACAATTAAAAGTCAACTAAGTTGGGCCGGCCGAGTGGCTCAGTTGGTTAAGAGCTCGCTCAAGAGTTTGAGCTCTGAGCAACAGCAGTTCGAGTCCAGCCCGAGCTGAGCAGCCGCTGAGCTGCCAATAGGTAGCAGGATGGCTCAGCTAAAGAAAAAGAAAAAAAAAAAAAAGTCAACTAAGTAAATTTTCAGAAGCTTTTAATCTCCTTTGGCCAAAAGCTCTCCTTATAGTGCTTTTCAACCTGAGATATACGCCCTTGGTAAACATAGACTTCCTCCTCATTAGTCATTGTTCACTCTATATGAAGAGATATCTAAACCCATCTTACTAAAAGGGGACAGTCTACATTATTATCAAGGATTTATCAATTATCCTAAAGAAATAAATGAGTAACTGATTCACTTCATTGGGTTCCCGGGAGACAAAGACTTCAAAGACCAAGACTCACAACCAGGAACTTTTTTCCATTGGACAAGGCATCAATTAAAGATACTCCAACCTTGTCGGAAAGGGACCATCTGTGGATATCAAACCTGCTCAAGGATGAGAAGCCACCAACATCAGGATTAGACAGCTATCCCAAGACATCGAGAAGGCCTGTATACCTACAGAATTGATACTGAACTTAAAATAACAATTTTTTCCTTGGCCTGTTGCTTCCTTGACAAAGGTCAGTCTTTACCTTAAGCCTGTCTGTTGTCTTTTTGCATCTAAGATAACATCCCCTTATAATATCAGAGTAATCTCTTTTTCCAAACCCCCCAGGGGCACAACCCACCACACCAGAGCAGGGAACCTCAAAATCCCTGATTGTTATCGTGTTACCCAAATGTTATCTCTATGTGCTGTAAAAAATGCTATAAATTATGGTGTACCCACCAATGTAAAAGACGTGTGTGTCTCTCCATTTTACTTTTGATCCAATCCCAGAGATGTCCCACTTTGCTTTCTCCCACTCCCTTAATCTACAACTGATGGATTTCATGTAACCTTCCTCCTTTGATTCTAATTTATAAAGTAAGTGGCAAGACGGCCATTTCTGAATCCTTTCAGACTTTGCTTTCTGGCAATTGTTTCAAATAAACTCTTATAAGCTTTCCGTTTAGGCTGGATGTTCTTTGTCGACAGCAGGTGGGGAGAAGGGCAGGTGGACGGGAATGGGGGAGGGTGGTCACACCTGTCAGTGATGATTAGGAAGGCATCCTCGAAAAGGGGGTGTTGGCATAGGGACTTGAAAGATGGTCAGAGAGAGTTAGGGAAGTAGGAATGTATAAGGAATATTCAGGAAAACCTGAGACCTGTTTGGCCAGGTCAGGAGTTTTGTGAGGCGACCGGTCGTGGATGAGGCTAGAATGTGGGCTGGGAACAGATAGGAAAACACTGTGAACTAAAGAATTTGGAGCCCAGAGGACTGTCTGTGGTTTGGGCTTTGGGCTTTGGGCTTTGGGCTGGCTGGAGGGGAGGGATTCCCAGCCTTCTGTGAGTCAGCAGGGTGAAAGTTCACCACAGTGGCCCAGCCCTGAGAAGCCAAAGGCAGCTGTGCCTCTCTGAGGAATCTTTGGCCTTCCTGTTTTGGATTGAGGGGGCTCAGAGTTGGAGCCAGTGCCCTGGCCTGTCCCAGGACCCCTGCTTTGGGCGCCTGGGACAGCACCTCCGGATTTCTGGCCATGGCAGCAGGAGAAGGTGGGGCAGTTTGACCCAACTCCCCCGTTAACCTCTCTTGGCCTGGAGTGCTCTCCCCTCCACCTTGCCAGCCCTTCCTTCATGGGGGCTTCTTCACCAGGAAGACCAGGTGATAGACTCCTTTAACTTCGCCTAGGAGACGATATTCACAATGGCGATCGCTAACTGAATAATGGTTGTACATTTTAAAAATCATGGATAATTCAGCAGGTCCTATCCAAGGCCGGATCTGCACCCCCCTCTCCTCCCATACACCCAGGCACCGTCTTGGAGAGAAGAAAGTGTGGTGGTGGTTAGGGGCAGGGGGGGATCCTGAAATACTGAGGACTTACCAGGGAAAACTGTGATCCTGTGAATGAATGCTCATCTTAGTTGCTGTCCCCCCACACACACACACACATAACAGGGAGGGGTGCTTATAAATAAGAGGCAACGTAGTACAGAAGCTTCTGAAGCCAGACTGCTGGGTTTGAATTCTGGCTTCATTGCTTGCTAGCTGTGTGACCTTGGGCAGGTTACTTAACCTCTCTGCGCCTTGGTTTCCTCATCTGCCAAATGGCAATTGTAACAGTACCTGCCTCGTAGGGTGCTGTGAAATTTAAACTAGGTGAAAATACCTAAAACTATGGATGGCACAGAGTAAGCACTCAATCCACGTGTGGGCTACTGGTGTCAGTTATGGCTAATAAAGAAACCACATTGTAAATAAGAAAACACCTTTTTTCAAACATCTAAGTCGGAATGCTTAGAATTTTAACTCTGTTACACAATTGGTGAGTACGGTTCCTCTCCCTGATGGACTGTGAGGCCCATGAAAGCAGGTCCCGTAAGTCTTGTTATTTCCATTGCCTGGTACAAGGCCAAGTTCAACCTGATGATAAGAGCTGTACCTCCCCACCCAGCACCACACCACAAGCACCCACTGCTGGCACTCCATTTTACTTTGAGCTGGCCTGTTTTTTCTTTTTTTCTTTTTTTTTAAATAGTGGTAAAACACACATAATATAAAATTTATCATCTCAACCAAGTGTACATACAGTTGAGTGGCAGTAAGTATATTCGCATTGCTGGTGAGCTGCCTTGTTGAGCTCCTGAGCCATGAGGCTAATAGGTTAGCAAGAGGATCACGTTGTTGACCAGAATGGCTGGCCGTATTCATGGAAGGGAAGTAGCCAGTACGCACTGGCGCAGGGACGGGCACCCATGCCTGCTTCTCCACCACGGCCGGGGGAAAGGCCGCTGGAACTCCCACCCCCTCATTCAGGAAGCCAGGAAGGCCAGGGTCTTCCCTGTGGGAAAAGGGCTCCAATCTGCTGAGCGGGCTGAAGGCAAGGGGATACGGGAATGGGTAATAGAGGAGGGAAGTCGTGAATACCCACCAGGACATTGAGCTAATACTTTCTTTTTTTTTAAACTTTATTGGGGAACAATATGTTTTTTCCAGGACCCATCAGCTCCAAGTCAAGTTGCTGTCCTTCAGTCTTAGTTGTGGAAGACGCAGCTCAGCTCCAAGTCCAGTTCCCATTTTCAATCTAGTTGCAGGGGGCACAGCCCACCATCCCATGAGAGTGTCAAACCAGCAACTTTGTTGTTAGGAGCACACTCTAACCAACTGAGCCATCCGGCTGCCCACGGGCCGCTCAGCAGCAGTTCAGCTCAAGTCATTGTCATCAATCTACTTGCGAAGGGTGCAGCTCACTGGCCCGTGTGGGAATCGAACCGGCAACCCTGTTGCTCAGAGCAAGTGCTCTAACCAACTGAACCACCCAGTCACCTGAGCAAATTTTTGTAAAGCCCTTGGAAGAGTGCCTAGCACATGGCAAGCACTCAGTAAATTATAGCTATAATGACTACTACTAGTAGTATCATTAATATTTTCTGGAAACTGATAATAATAACATTAATACCAGTTTCAGTAAAAGATTATAACCAAAAGATCATAACTTTTTGCTTACTGTGTCCTGGGATAATTCTTCAGAATTTTCCTTCCTCCTTTTCATTTCCTTTACTGTCCATTAGTGGTGGTTAAATTGACTTCTTAGGCCACCCGACCGTGCTGACTCACTCATCTCCAACTTCCAGCCTCCAGAACTGTGAGAAATAAGTGTCTATTGTTTATTAGCCATGCAGTCTGGTATTTTGTTATAGCATGTTGACGTAAGAACATCCAAACCTGCAGAAAATTTTTATAAAACATTCATTTGAGTCAAACAGAGGGTACTCCTGGAAGCAAGATCTGAACACCTAAGAAAAATGAAAAATATTCTCAATGTTCTGAGAAGAACAGTTGGCAGGGTTTTTTTTTTAAAATGTAACTGAGATTAAGGCGGGAATTTAAGGAAGATGACATGAAGGTGAGAGAAATGAAGGCTGGGATGGGAATACAGGATAGTTAAGCTTATGTGCTCTCTTGAGGGTGGTTTGGCTTGAGGGATCTGACAAGAGGCATATCAAAGGTGTGTTAATATAGAGACACAAAAACAACGGACAGAGCTGGCTGAAGGCAAACTAAACCTTTTACTAAAGAAGTTACAGGCCTGGGGCGTGCCTACCCACCATGACCATTTATAATCAGATCACCCTGTGAAATTTGAACCCCCTTTTCGTCCACAAGCAGCCTGAATGAACTAAGACCACTCCAACGAACAGCTTGCAAAACAAAAAAGAAGGGACGTGTGACTGGGTCGTCTGATGGAAGCAGCCTGGCGAGCTGTCCCCTGAGCTCCTGTCAGCCTTGCTCCCTGTTCTTTCCCAGGCCTGGTCGTTCAGCTGTAATGTCGGGGCTGGTGCTGTGCCCGGGGCCTTCCAAAAATTCTTCAGTTTAAAGGAGCCTGAATCAATCCCAACCTCTTGTGTTCAAAGAACTTAGAATTACAACTCCAGGCACCCCACAGGTTCCTGATAATCAACCTGTTGACAGCACCACCGATTGTGGTCAGGCCCCAGGACAGGGGAGGAGTGAAAAGGAGGCTCTGACATTTGGCCATCAGAGGGGTTGACCTGATCGGTACTCCATCTAGGTTACAAAAGTGCAAGTGTT